TTTTTTTTTTTTTTTTTTTTTTAATTTAAGTGAGGCGGCGAATTTCTCGACCCGCCCCTGACGGCACTAACACTAGCTACGCCACTGCATGCATGGATATCTTTCCATGAAGCAGTCTTCAACCTCTCAAGAATTGTATATATTTAAGGAGATAGTGAGTACAACTGGAGATGCGGGGAAGATTTTTCCCATTTTTCATTAGAGATGTGTTTTGTTTATTGCTTTCCCAGAACCAGCAAAGCGAATTGTTCACGTCTATATTTTACAACAATGGTTTTCATCTCTGGAATCTAGTAAATTTATTTTTGCTCGCTCAGTCTCAACGTTATTTCAAACAAGTTTTTTTTTTTTTTTTTTTTTTGTGTGGAAAAAAACAACTAAGTTTTACTCATTGTTTGATCTACCTATCTACAAAAAACGTGTCCAGTCGGGTATTAGATTAGGGGAACGCCGTGGAACTACAGTGTAATAGGTCAGGAACAAGAATAACTTAACAGGTCATAATCTTTAACAATGTCGAAAGTTAAACCTCAAAAAAGGAAAAAAAGAAACTAGCAAAAATATATAGGCCCATAAAAATACAAATCAAAACATGATGTACTAGAACGATTTTATACATCATAATCTAGAAAATTTTCTTGGGTCATAAACTAAATCATATTAATAGGATCGTACAATTTTAAAAAAATCAATGGGTAAATAACTAGAAAGAAAATAAGTCATGAACTGGAGCAATATCATGGATGATATATTCCAAAAATGTAATAGGACATAAGCTATTATATATTTCATAGGTGTTACGTCACGACTCAACAGCAGCATTGCACATGTGCTGTGTCGTAAGCAATCTGTATAAAGCAATACTAATGGATAATAAGATGTGCCGATACAAAAGATTGGGGACTTTTAACCCATCCAAATGAGGTAAAAAAAAGTTGTCATAAAATTTAAAAAAATCTTTGAGAATCTCTTTTATTTATATTAATTTCAGGCTTTTAAATTTAAGCACAAAAGTATTTCTGTACTGCGTTTGAAAGTTTTGTTTAAAACTGTGGATAAATCCCTTCCCCCCCCCCCTTATCTAAATGGTCAACGCCTTGCAGCAACCTAATTAGTTTTTAACTAGAAACATTCTTAATGACTTAATGCACACTAAAGTCAAAAATATTTAAACACAAAATAACAACATACAAAATTAGTGACGAGCGGATTAACGAAAAGTTAATTTCATGAATAGACTTAACTTTAATGGTTTCATTTTTTTTTTTTTTACTTTAAAAAAAAATAAAAAAAAATAAGATTCTATTTTTGTATGTTGCATTTTATCTTAAAGCTAGTGACAATTTTAAGTTCAGGATCACGTTTTAAAATTGAAAAAAAAAAAATTTTTTACTTTAAAAAAAAATAAAAAAAAATAAGATTCTATTTTTGTATGTTGCATTTTATCTTAGAGCTCGTGACAATTTTAAGTTCAGGATCACGTTTTAAAATTGAAAAAAAAAAAAATCTAGATAAGGTTGAAAGTCGAGCCTGTGGCGTTGTTTTAGTAAATAAAGAAAACCAAAAGAACAAAAATAAATATATAAATAAATGGAATAAAAATAATATATCCTCATTTAAAAACTCTCAAACATTTGAATTTCTTGAATAAAATACATGCCCTTCCTTCCGAATTTTAACATTGACGTCTTTGCCAAGCCACCTTGGGGACCAAATCAGTTTACAGTCGTTACCCTAACACCCACCACCCAGTGGCGTAGCTAGGGGTATGCCGACCGAACCTGCTGATACCATTTCAGGGGTGACACCAATTTTTTTTTTTTTTTAAAGGTACATTTTACACTGCTCGCTTACACCAAATTTTCTAAAAGGCTAAAGAATCACACCGAAATTTTCCACACATATGACCAATAAAATGCGTCCTTTATTAAAAGTTCAAGGTTGATACGTCAGAAATGATGTGACCCAAGATATTTATTTATTTATTTATTTAGGCATTTTTATATAGCGCTTACCATAAAGCTCTAAGCGCTTTACAATTATTAAAAACATGTAAACTAAGTAAAATAAAAATGAGACACTAGGATAGTAACTACTATACTATAGAAACAATGAAAATGGCTATAAAACGAGGACACTTTGACACTTTGACACTTCAGGATCAACCCGAAACAGAAAAATGAGGCAGGGCAAGGAGGGTGCATCACAGGTCATAGGCGGACCTAAACAGATGAGTTTCATATATAGGTCAGAAAAAAACACCGGGTTGGCCATGCTTCAACGCGGATGCAAGTGTACGGTAACTTTCGTAAGTGACCATAAGCTTTGATAGCTCATACGATGTGGTCGGGTCAGTATGAGCACATGTTACAAATCTGTAATACCTTTAACTCCTATCCTTTCATTAATGTGTTTTTTGTTCTTCTCATTTTTATACTGTGGACTTATTTGACAAGTAATTGGGCGTGGAAGTCGGAGCTGGGGGGGGGGAGGGGGTTGACACCGTGAGTTTACGGCACCGGGTGACACCAATGTTAGCTAAGCCACTGACCCAATCCGGCATCTAAAGTTGGGTTGCGGGGGGGGGGGGTAGACACAGCGAGTTTACGGCACCGGGTGACACCAATATTAGCTACGCCACTGACCCCACCCATCCTACAAATTATTTTTTTTTTAAATAGTTTTAAATTGTGTCATTCCATTCAACCCCTGGCCTCAAGCTTCAACCTCTGCGCCCCCACTGTCTCTAAACCACACCAAACCTTAGCCTCCTCCTAATTCGTCATGTGAGGATTTTCCAATTCCATACTTTCTCTCCAATATCCAGATTCCCGTTTACTTACTCACAATGAAACCACACGACACTGGCTCAACTTGAGGGCAATTTATTTAATGTGTATAATTTAAGAACATTACTTTCCATTTATGGTAAGCTGTGCAACCTGAAAACCACATGTATGAAACGTAAAAAAACAACAACAACCTGAAGCAAAAGAAACAAAACAAAGATGAGAGTGAACGCAAATACATTACGATTAGCAGAAAGACAGTAATCTCCTTGCAATTACCAGCAATTAGTCATCTGGGACATGGTGATAAGAAAAAGAGATTTCCATTTTAAAAACTGCATTGCGTAGCAGTTGAGGACACAAATAGGCCGAGAAGCATTTTGACAGTTGCGATGGTACATATTTATTATTTATCAAAATATGTACTGCACTGGTAATTTTCTTTTTACAAAGTCTATAGTGTCTAATGCGAACGAGCTTCTTTAAGAATACTGAGAAACCTAATTTAATGGTAAGTCATTATACAGAGATAAGGGGAGGTAGAGAGTGACATTTAAAGAGAGAGAAGAAGAGAGAGTTAGAGAGAGAGGTAGAGAGAGTGAAAATGAGAGAGAGAGCAAGAGAGAGAGGGAGAGAGAGAGAGCATGTGTGAGTGAGAGAGAAAGACGTAAGAGAATTAACCTTACGAGACCGCTGTACCGATTTTTCGGTAATTTCCGAATTTGCCGCTTTACCACTTCACCTAATTTTCGATACCTTGCCTACTACGTGAAACAATGCGTCACAAGCTAAAAATAACCAACCATTCTTTTGCAAATGTCTGCCCCCCATGTGTTTGAATAGACTTTATGTGGTGTGACGTGAAACAATTCTGAACATTCCCAATGACACAAGCACCTGACGAACCAAGCACTTCAACTGGAAAGCGCAGTAGGTCTAGGCTTATGACACCCTATCGCCACCCGCGAAGGGAACAGTTCCCTCAAAAAATAACCCCGGGGAATCGTTTTCCAAAGACTCCCCCTGGGAAATTGTCTAATCATATCTGTGTTGCGTGCATGGAAAAGCACTCCAGGTATCACAAGCAAAATCATGGAGTGTTTTACAAAGACATTACATGCAAGAAGATGAACAGCAACATCTGCTGCTCACTTTGCAAGAAGTACCTCTGTGTAAAACAGGGCTCATCCTGCTGGGTAGACTGGCACACTAAGGTGGGCTATTGGCGCTAGATGAAAGGTAGACCTATTTTCTAAAATATCTCCAAGTTCCATCTTATTCTAACTACTTGTTTGCATGTAACTAACATTTTTCTATAAAATGTATTGTTTCCTTCCTCTTTAATGCTTAGGAGCCCAATGATAGGGGACAGTTCAAGGCCTAAGGGCTGGTAGGGTTAAGAAGAAAATAAAAGAAGAATAAAGTCGAGAGAAAGAAATCAAGATATCAATTCAAAACTAAAATATAAATATATAAATATTTTGCTACTCATTCGATGCTTAGTTTGATTACCGTGAAAACCCAGCATGGTTTGTCGTCTTAGAGAAGCGCCGAGTTAAAATGCATTCCTTCCGGACCTTCAATTGCTTATGAACACACGCATCTATCATCTGTGCATGCAACGATGTATTCAAGTCCTTGAATCTGCTTTATTGAGGTACACTCGGGAAGACTGTGGGATCCCTGGTGACAACTCAAAAGGTAGAAGCTGTTACCAGCCCCGTCGGGGTCAAGAAACAGCCTTGGGATAGATTAAGAACGTCGCTGTGGTAGGCTCAACTAATTGAATTGTTATTCATTTTAAAGAGCTTGAAACTAGATACTGCTTACAAGAATTTATAAGATGAAGTCGCTGTGTCTTCTGTCTGTTTTCGGATGCTTCTTCTTGGTGAATTCTGCTTTAGGACAACTGATAGGTATTTTATCGATTATGGTTTAAACAATGAATTTTAATAAGATTGATAAGGAATAATATGACTAGAGATATCAGGTGTTGAAGCTATGGTGTGGAGAAATAAATTGATGTAGCTATTTTTATTGATGTAACGTGTTGCAATTATAGTGCGTTGATAAAAAGTGTTGCAGCTTTGATTTAAAGATATAAAGTGTTGCACCTATGATGTAGAGGTATAAAGTGTTGAAGTTGTTGTCTAGAGATATAAAGTGTTGCAGTTGTGATGTAGAGATATAAAGTGTTGCAGTTGTGGTGTAGAGATATAAAGTGTTGCAGTTATGGTGTAGAGGTATACATTGTTGTAGCTATTTTTATTGATGTTTCGGGTTGCAATTATAGTGCGTTGATATAAAGTGTTGCAGCTATGATTTAGATATAAAAATTGTTGTAGACTTGTTTAAAATATGTAAATTGTTGCAGCTATTATGTAGTAATATAAAGAGGAGCAGCTATGCTGTAGACATATAAAGAGTTGCAGCTGAGCTGTGGTGTAGAGGTATAAATTGTTGCTGCTGTGGTGTTGAGATATAAAGTGTTGCGGATGTGGTGTACAGATATAAAGTGTTGAAGTTGTGGTGTAGAGATATGAGTGGTTACAGCTATTGTTTATTGAAAAAAAGTGTTGCATCGATGGTGTAGTTGTATAAATTCTCTGCGTAAAAATATGGGATCCTGAGACTGATGGGGGCTCTGCATCAGAATGTTGGGTCATAAGGGTCAATATTGCTCCATAATGGGCGGTACGGAACAAGCTGGTACCATAAAGATCAATATTAGACCAATAGGGTAATAGGTATGCCGTGTCATATGGGTCAAGCTGAGACCATAAGAGTCAATGTGTGGTCATGCTGGTTCATGTTGGACTATATGCGTCAACGTGGGGGTCATATTCGTCAATGTAAGTCTCAAATGGTGAAAGTTGAGCCATAATGTGCAAGGTGGGTTTTGAAGGACAGGTGACAAGGCAACAAGTGTGGCCTGATTCACAAACCTTAAAAGCGTTATAAAAATGCCTCTTACCTGCAACGCTAAAACCATCATGCACTGTGCTGAACTAGCCATAATTCACACACACACATATAAAACTGTAGATCACCCATCCTTGTCATGCATACAACAGTCGGTGACGATAAGATATTGCAATGTACAAGCAGGTCATCATCACATGTTAAGCGATTGAACAACCGGGCGTGGCTGGCCAATTAGAATACCATAGCGTTTTGTTGTTCAGAATGTGAGACGATTTATATCAAATTAAACACCTTTTAAGCGGAACTTTTACCAATTCGTTCATGGAGACAAATTACGCATAGGCAATTGTAGGCAGTGTTTCTTTCTGTCTGACTGGCTGCCGACCCCCCTAATACAACTTTCACTGACTGCCATCCACCCTTCTCCAGCATTCACTGACTGCCATTCACACTTCTCGGACCTTCACTGACTGCCCCAACAGTTCTCAAGCATTCACTGACTGCCATCCACCCTTCTCCAGCATTCACTGTCTGCCATTCACACTTCTTGGACCTTCACTGACTGCCCCAACAGTTCTCCAGCATTCACTGACTGCCATCCACTCTTCTCCAGCCTTCTGTGACTACCTTTCACCTTTCTCCAGCTTTAAACGGCTGCCCACTACTCTTCTCCAGCCTTCTGTAACTAACCTTCACCTTTCTCCAGCTTTAAGCGGCTGTCCACCACTCTTTTCTAGCCTTCACTGACTGCCCACCACTACCTCCGTGTGCCCGCCCACCTAGCGGCTGCCACCACACCACCGACGAAAACGGATGCATGACGTGTCATATTATGTGTCCCCGGAAAGCGTGTCCTCCCGTATGTGACAACGTGTGTCTGAATGGGTAAGTCAATTCATTGTTAGTGTAAACATGTGTCCTAACTGGTTAAGTCCATTCGATGTGTATGTCAACTTGAGTCCTTATAGGATTATTCAATATATGTCCGCACGTGTCAATAGAAACGTGAACTCTTGTATATTTTAGCATGTGTTCTTATTGGGTAGTCTGTTCTTGTAAATGTAAATCCGTGTCCTAATTATAAAAGTCGATTCATTATATATGTGAAAAATTAGTATGTCAGAAAGAGTAGGTCAATATATGTTATGTCAGCCGTGTTAATATGGTTATGTCAACCTGTGCCCGATTGGGTATTTCAACCCATGTCCGATTAGGTATGCCACTTGTGTCCGAGTGGGTATTTCAACATGTGTCCGATTTGGGTATGTCACCCTAATCAGTTTGGGTATGTCAATATGTTTCCGAGTGGGTGTGTCAACATGTGTCCGTTTGCGTATGTCATCATGATTCCAAATGATATGTCATCATGTGTCCGAGTGGATATGTCAACCTTTGTCTGAAGAGGTATGTTAACCTGTGTCCGATTGGGTTTGTCAACCTATGTCCGATTGCATCTTGTATCCGAGTGGGTATGCCATCATGTGTCAAAATTTGCATGCTAAGATGTGTTCAAATGTGTATGTCGACTCAAATGTTGTAAGTCCATACCTAAGAACCGAATTAAATGTGATATGGGATAACTTTAAGATCGTTTGAATGGGATACATTTCCCAGGTGATGGCCATGTCATGGTAACATCCTAGATGTCATAACATGACAGAATTTTTATAGTAACGTGGACAGGGATTACAATGTCAAGATTAATGAAATCACAATGTCATGTCATTGTTGTTAAAATGCGGAAATAGCAATCATGATTTTAAAAAAAGTTATGCACATACTATTGTGGCATAGAATGAAACCACATTATTCTGTTATTGTTTTTTTTATAACACATGCTAAGAATGGGCACTGATAGATTACGCCATAGACAGAGCGTGCCCTTTGGTAGGCTCAACCAATATCTTACAAATACTTTGCTTGTGGTGTGACTGCTTCCATCTATGGATAGCGCGCAAAACATAAGTCCCGATAACTACGCCAAATGATTTTTTTTTTCTAAATGACGCAACTGGGTTTGGAGGGTAATATTTTCTTTTCGGAAGAAAATCGTCTCATTTCAAATATGGTGAAATAAATAATCGGTTTAAAGTGTTTGGGACATAAGAAAATAAATATAGTTCATAAGTGTGTCATGAAAAGTATGCAGTGACGTATCATAGAGGAAATAGTGTAGCAAAAATGGATATTTTAAATTGTTCGTTACTTGAGTTCATTTTTGTCGAGTAACTCTAGTAGAAGGGAAGTTCACGGACTGGCGTCGCCAATGTCTGGCTGGCCTATAACTAGTAGCAACGAATTCAACTATCACTTTCACCACCCACCCCCCTCTTTTTTTTTTTTCACGTTCCACCCCAATTCTTCTAGGCACGCGCTTGACGCCAACGGATGTGAGACCTGCGCGTGCAACCCTGACGTTCCTTTCCTAGAATGCCACACCTGGATGAAGTGTGCCCAAGGAGTGTGCCCCTACGCCTGTAGCTGCCAGCCTAACTGTTAATTTAACGTGCTATTTGAACGGAACTGTTAATTAAACGTGCTATTTGAACGGAACTGTAAATTAAACATAATCAATGAAAATTGTGTAGCGGTTTTCTTGTTTTGTTTGGTTCATCTTTTACAATTTCTAACATGTAACTAATAGGGAAATAAACCCTGTGCGTAAATACTTTATAATCCATTTTTAAATGCTAATGACCGAATGATAACTTTTTGAAGGGAGACAGTGTAAAACAAAATTAAAAATGTTCTCTTGTCAGTTTGATATTTTGTTAAAACTGATATCTTTTACACAGCGTGGCGATAGAACGAATCGACAGATTAGGAGCACCAGCCAGGCTTCTAACTTGATTTACCAAAATTCTCTTCTACTGTTCACACACACACAGACACAAACACTTTTACACACGCGAATTTTAAAGAGAGTGAGATATGAAAAGAAAAACAGGTGACCTTACAGGAAATAAACCATCATTACTCTTTGTAAGCTGTTGTAATTTTGGTTTAAGTTTCATTTGTTGTCTTAAAATTTGATGTACAGTTTCAATCGGAGTTAAATATGTCATAAATTACCTTATGCTGGAACGTTATGTTTTAAATTACCCTATTTAATGTCTCTTGCCAAAATATTGTTATAAGTACACATTGCATCTACAGGAGAGTGGTCGTGGCTTGAAAACACTCGAGAACCCGTGTATTAGAGCTACAGATCTAAGTATTTCAGCGCAGTTAACCATACTGCTACTGGTCTAGGCTTACAGGGACACTATTTGTCAATCTGTGAGAATTTTGACAATCTGTGACAATGTGTTACAATCATTCACTTTCTGAAATTGAAAAAAAAAATAGAATAGAAATGTATTCTAAAAGTGAGTATCCGAGACGTTCCGGGATGGGCAAATTTCCCGGAAAGTCTTTTATTTTATACAAAATCGTCCGGCATCCCGGAATTGAAACCGCACTGTGTGCATAAATTAGTTACATTTCTACAAGGGTCTGGTAGTTTTAATGTATGGCAAGTATGGTGAAATAAAGATAACTCAATGCGCGATAGCCCTACAATTAAATGAAATTTATTATGCGATAACAGTAAGATTAAACATAATTTATTTAAAGATACCCATGTAATAAATGTAACTTTTAAAACCGTTCCAGGCGAATAAAGGTAACTTACTGAACCATACACCTTACATACCTGAGCTACAGATGAAGCCGTGCCTTTGGGTCAGAAAAAAAAAATATTAGAAATTACATAGATCAATAAAGCCATCTTCTTATTTCATCTTTAATTCTCACTATCAATACAGCCAGGTTCTGGCCAGTTAAAGAGAATTTCCAGACATTCTGACAAGAGCATGCCATTTTTTTTTCTTCCATGCTTGCCGCTAAACGATTGCTGAGCCATGGCCTATTGTTTAGATAGCTGAAAATAAATATGTACAATGTCAAAGAATAAGGTTCCATTTATTTGGATCAATAAAGAATCTTATCGTAAAAGCAGTTTCCCCAGGGGCGCCATCTGTTTCAATTGTCCTGTTGTTTTAGCATGTGAGGGTGTGAGGGGGATTGATGGGGTCAAATGGGGGGGGGGGGGGGGTTTATGCACAAATGGAATCTCGTCATCCTATGTTTTAAGGGAGAGAATTGTAATCAGTTACGGAGTAAGAGAACGTTGTGACAATAATTTAAAAAAAAAAAGTTTCCCCAGGGGCGCCATCTGTTTCAATTGTCCTGTTGTTTTAGCATGTGAGGGTGTGAGGGGGATTGATGGGGTCAAATGGGGGGGGGGGGTGAGTTTATGCACAAATGGAATCTCGTCATCCTATGTTTTAAGTGAGAGAATTGTAATCAGTTACGGACTAAGAGAACGTTGTGACAATAATTTAAAAAAAAAATGTAACCAGAACAGAAATGAAAATGTCAACACGTATGGGAGACAAATAATATGTCTTGTAAAATAATAGTATTATCATTATTTAAGTGGTCTTATATAGCATGGTTCCCCAGCCTATGGCTATGCTCACCGTGCTCCACATAAAAAAATTAGAGCGCAAAAAAAAAAGAAAAAAGAAACATGACATAAAAGAGTTATGCAAAATTATTCATTTTAAAACACCCTTGTAGAAAGATTGACCTCGCCCAACCAAGTACTATTTACCCTCGTCAAGCCATGGAAGGCCCAGCAGCTTCAAGCTTTGTTTATTAACCAGATGGCGTGAGAATAAGTTGGAATAGTAGAGTTTGAAGAGATGTTCCTTGAGTCAGTTTTGAAGGCTTGGATGGTCGGTACGTTGCGAATGTGTAATGGGAGAGAATTGCATTTTTTGGGTGGGGGCACATAAAGATAAAGATTGTTAACCGTATGTGTTAGTGCGAGTTTTGGGAAGAATACGTGTGTCCGTGGAAAAAACGAAGCTGTCGAAAGGGTGAATGGACAGAAAGAATATACAGTGTGTTGGGATTTGGGAGGAACTAGCCAATCAGATGTTTTGGTTGAATAATGGAGTTTGTTTAAGAATGGAGAGAAGAGTGATGAAATGAACACATCGTATCAATATTTTGTTGAAAATATTATCAAGTAAAAGTAAAAGAAGATAATGTTATGTAGAAGTTAAATATGATTGACATGTGTGTTGTATAACTTCATTTATATGCGGCATTTGTGAAACTTATTTATTATTGCGAATGACGATATTAAAATCAGTCACTGTTGGAAACACATCGATAGGGGTATTGTATATAACGAAATTTGATCTTGACAGTAATAATATCTCTGGATAGTGGAATGTTACAGAACAATTAAGTTATTTGGTGAAAAATTAACTGTTACAAATATTGGCCGAGGGTCTAGTTCATCGGATGATGCAGGCTACGTGTAATATAAGTTTCAACTATTAACCCAAAATCTTGGTTCTCGGATGATGCAGGATAAGTAGAACATAATTTGCTTCAAATCTCGGACAAGAACCTAGTTCCCGGATGATGCACGGTACGTAGAACATATGCTTCAAATCTTGACCAAAGATCTGGGTTCCAGATACGAAAAACATACGCTTTAAATCACTTCAAATTCTAAATGGGTTTTCGTCTTACGATTTCTTCAAGACAATGAGTCTCGAAATTGGGTTACTGCATATCTCTTGTAAATCCCGTTGTACTAAGGCAGTGGCTCTCAAACTTCGTAATGCCGCGACTCTTTTATACAGTTCTTCATGTTGTGGTGACCCCAAACCACAAAACTATTTTCGTTTTTACTTCATAATTGTAGAGTACATGTGTATTCCGATGGTCTTAGGCGACCACTGGGAAAGGGTCGTTCAGCCCCCAAAGGGGTCACAAACAACAGGTTGAGAACCACTGTTCTAAGTGGTTTACAATTATATCAATACAATCACATATAGACCCACACATATAATTACATTTTACAGAGATATAGCGATGTGTGAACATGCACTTTTGTGCAACATACAAATATTAAACCAATTGAACAAGTTTAAAAAAAAACAACACCTTCTTGAATCCTTTGCTTCTGCCGATCTACATTTATTTAATACTATGTTTTAAAAGTTAACATTCTCATAAAAACGTTTCTTTATTTTAAAAAAATAATTTCTATTTCACATTGTGACGAATAGATGCCAGCAAAAAGAAAATCCATTTCATCTCTGACATGTTGAAAACTGATACGAATCATTTAAATCCATTGGATTCACTGAATATCTATGAGGACATTACTTGAACATTCATTGTGTAAGTATACAATTACAACAAAAATGTTGATTTCGACGCACTAATAATTCATGTTAATAAGCCTGACATTGAGTTCCAGTTCTGGATATACGTGGCTCTTCAGCGTGTTTTTTGTGTGTTGTGAGTGGGATTTTAAATACACATGAATGATGGCTTAGTTTGTTTGTTGATTTTTTAAAAACATTTTTGCTTTTTTTTTTTTTTTTTTTTTTGTTTTTTTTTTTTTTTTTTTTTTTTTTTTTTTTTTTTGGGTGGTGAACCTATGAGCAGACCTTGTTAAATCAATTCTAGTGGATGGATGTCACATTTGGCATTAAGGAATCAAAATTACTTAAGTTAACGCTTTCCATTTTATATCGAGTTTATATTTGTAAGTGTAAAGAACATTTTGCCACTTTAGTTTTATAAAGACAACGGCAATTTCGATTACTTTAAATTTTTTTTGTTATATATTTTTCACGGAAAAAAAATCCATTTTATTCTTGGTGAATGCAAGATGTGTCTCGATATAATACTATTAATCATGTAATCTAAATTTAATCTAATATTCTTGGCATCTTCCCGTCTCTTCGGAGTAGCTGATTGACACTTCCTCGAAATCGCATGAATTCTAACCTTGTCCTCTGGCTTGCATCGGCCTTCTGTGATGCTCTTTTTTGTGTTGCAAGGGCTTCCTTTGTACGCATACACCGATTGCTTGAGTCCCACTTTTACTTCTGCTCCAGACGGAACGGGTATCCAGCGATGATCGTGCTGTCGCAAAACTGTTAAGATACTGATATACTGTATACAAAAAAAAAAAAAAAAAAAAAAAAAAAAAAAAAAAAAAAAAAAAAAAAAAAAAAAAAAAAAAAAAAAAAAAGAAAGGAAAAAGAAAGAAAACAAAAATTAAAAAAAGTAAATCGCCTTATACACTCACAGAAAAGGTGGGCGTGCTGGACGTGTGAAGAAATGATATAGGCCTACATGTGCGGTGGTGTAATGTAGAGGTAACAGAAGTGATTTGAAAAGTGGCGAAAATGAAAAGAAACCTTTGCATTACTCATAGCAATGCATCCATTCTAATAATGACATATCTATGTATAATTTCTGTCTTCATTGGTGTGTGAAAAAAAAGAGTTCAATTGATTAATTAAAAAGAAACAGTTGACCACCTAGTAATGTGTCAGAAATTACATCATGTTTTTTTTTTGAATTTTGAGCCATTGCTATTATGTTCCTTCAAGTTTGGTCATTACAATTATGGTTATTAAAATATCCTTTTACAAATACGGTTATTTACGTACAAGCATTGTCTCATTTTATGACATCGTTCAAAAATGGTGATTTAAATTAATATGTT